TCTTATGATAATCAATTTTATTGGCTCATGACTAATGAAGATCCAGACATCCTTAGATCACTTGCTGGATTCCTTAGTAATTTACCTTAATTGAAGATATTGTGATAAGCATAAAAAAAAATTATATACCTCTTTCCCAGTTTCTTGCCTTTACTATATATATATATGTATAAATTATATATATTTGTATGTAACTTAGAATACGATACATGTATGTATATTCAGTATATCTCTTATATACTTTTTTTTTGGTTTTTTCTTTAACAATTGCTCTTTATTTGTAATATCATCATCATGCTTGTTCTATCATTTGGATCCTCCTCCTTCTATTTGTAAATCTTTTTGCTCCTCCGGGGGCCCAAATTGGATTAATAAAATCTTGTATCTTGTATCTTGTATCTTGTATTCTATAATAAATAGTGTAAAAGGCTTTTGCTATCATTGCAAGACACCATAATCACTTCTCATTTAATATCATGCTAATAAGGATTGGTATCTAAGGCTGGATTCAAGAAAATCTTATTTCTCTAAAACTGTATTAATTTTTTCCCCTTTTATAGGGTACAAATGTCAACTTTTATAAGACCTTTTCTAAGACTTCCACAGACCTTGAATCTTATAAAGATGAATAAAATGAAAATTGTTGCATGAAAAAAGTTCATTTTCAAACTTAACTTTGATGCATTTGAAATTAAATGTTAATTTTTGGAGTTATCCTTCCTGGCTGAGGATCGGATATCCTTAATTAGTACTGAGTATATATTATATATAACTAATTTATTTACTTGTGATACTGATTCTGGATAAGTTAGAAATTTTTAAACATATCATTTGGTTTAGTTGTTAGAATATTCTACCAAATTTGGATGAATGAAATGAAATAAAATATGATACATGTGTTGATTAAAAAATGATTTATAACAAACGTCCGCAAACTTTTCTTACAATCCTCGCATATATGTGTTAAATTCAAATTCAACAATTCCTGTCTTTCCCCCTGAAATATATATTAATTTTATGAAAGTAGGAAAAAAGACCAATTTTACACGAGTTATTCTTATTCACGTTTATCACTTTTTATAACTTCATGATAAATAGGTCTTAGTGTACTCAATTCTTTCAAATTCATTTCCATTTCAATGAATTTCAATGAATTCAATCTTATCAAGCTAATTCAGAGAATCTTGCTTAAGGAAAATAGAGCATGTAGAGGGTGGGGACTTTAGGAACAGGCGTGACCATATAGGAAGTAATAGTATATAGTTTCATTGCAAAAGCTTTAAATCGTCTTGAAAAGTCAGTCAGTATTTGATTTAATGATAAATTGCAATTTCTGCAAATTTTTGCAATTGCATTTTCTGTGAGTTCATTGTATCGACCATAGACCGTGCGAAATTATGACTTTAAACGAGACTGCTGATATTCTTGCTACAGCAACTTGTTTTTCAATAACTTACATCGTTTTAAAAATTATTCATACGTGGAACATGCTCATGCGTATCGAACAAATTGAGAGATGTAAACCCCGTATGCAGGCGATGAAGGTATATTGCAGCATAAGTAAGGGAGGTTGACAAATAAAAAGTTTACTATAAAGCTTGGTTGTTAGATAACCATGACTTCTTCTATATATCCAAATATGAAATAGACGTGTCAGTCTCTGTGGTATCCTTTATTTCAAGCTCACCGGAATAAGAATGAAAAAAAAAACATTTTTAATTGACAATGTAGACAATGGTGATGGAGAATATTAGTAGTATTAATTGAAAAGTGGAATTATAGAAGCAGAATGATTTTTAGTTAGGCTTGCGCATGTATAATTATGTTTTTAACTATATTGAAATGTATTTACAAATTTCATTGCAGAATGTCTTTCGACAGGCAAACGGTATGGCAGAGGAATAAAACTTTAATCCGCTCAATAATCTACATAATCTAAATATTTTAACTGACACAGTCACCAAAAAGTAGAGAGAAAAATTGAAATACGACTGTAATGCATAATTCCATTCTTTCATTTACGGATTCTTTTTAATCTTCCCAATCATTTTATGGGAAGAAATGATAATTCAATGATTGTCTCGATGATATTTGAGGAAAATTCATCCTTAAAACGACAGCTGCCCTGGAAGTACATGGTTCATGACCAACCTTTGTATGGAGGAATATATTTTTCGCAATCTGTCATTGTTCTAAAAGGAAAGTAGTGCTTTAATTAGGTTGACATGCAATTTAGTAATCTTATAAGAAAATATGATATAAATATGGGTATATTTAATCACTGACACAAATATCTGACATCGTAGATGTAAGTGCAACATATTTATGTAGACATGCTGCATATTTTTGTCAGCATGCAAGATAATTACGTTAACATGCAACTTATGTATGTCAGCATATATTTTGGTGTGAAATGCTATAACAATATATAATTATATATAAAATAATAATAATAATGATTGTTTTTTATATAGCACTTTTCTAGCATAAATGCCAATCAAAGCGCTTCACAATACATTATTACCCCAGCAGACCTTAACAATCCAGAATATTTCTCAGTGCAAGCTGCCGTTTTCAGCGCTAGAACACTAACATTCTGACAATATCTTTCACTGTCTATAGCCAGGTACCCCTTTTACACTTGGGTGGAGTGAGGAAATTCGTGTAAAGTGCCTTTCCCAAGGACACAACGTCGGCTTGTCGTGGCCAGGATTCGAACTCACAACCTTTCGGTTTGGAGTCCGGCACCTTAACCACTGGACTACCGACGTGTAATTCGTGATAATATACAGAAAATATTAACTTCAAATCTGTTTCTATGTACCTTTAAGGAAGGATTCTTCTCTGGTTTCTTACTAGATAAAATATTCAAAGTATATTTGCTTATATGTCTTTTATATTTAGGTAGAAGAGATTTAAAAGACCACATCACGATTGTAAAACTTTAAATAGAAATGGTAAACTGCATTTGAAAACTAACAGGGACCATATATTTGACAAAATGGTGGCGTATGAAAATATCTTCTTTTCTGCTTATCAAAAATATTATAGAAAAATGAATTTAGTTATAATCTTTACACAATCAAAGACTTGAAGAGATTTTAAAAAATATAAGTTAAATTAGTAATCAAAGGGTCTTATGTTTAAAGATATATCAGACAAATATGATTTTTCAGACAAACTACACCTAGATTAGCTTGTAAAAGCTTCCAATCTAAGGACAGATTACAGCCAAGTAATCCCTACAAAGTTTTTTTCTTTCTATTTAATTAAAGGGGCTTGGACAGAGTTTCAGCTAAAATTTCAAAATTTATTTTTCCATTTTTACAAATATTTAACTAGTTGTCGAGATACAAGACAGATTTAGAGCTCCAAACCTTTGTTATGTAAACAAGGTCCGTGTCATGTTTTTGTTTACATAGGTTAATATATGACTATATGTTCGTTCAAAGTAGACAATTTCAATAAAGAAGTTAATTTTAAAAACGATTCGGCAGTTACTATTGATTTGCTAAATTTCATTTTGTTATAAATATGATATTTTCTATATATGTTAACAAAAACAAGGCTCGAGCCTTGTTTACATTATGGAGAACCTTAAGTTCTGTATTTCGTTTGTTAATCAACAAATGATGTTCAAATTTTTGCTAATCATTAAATGAAGAGTTAATTAGGTAGGAATTGTAAACATTAAAACTGGTTAATAAAATTCAGTTGGAACTGTGTCCATGCCCCTTGAAGTCAACGATCAAAACTGTTTGTTTTTGTATCATTTTGTATCTTTATGTGACAACTTTACCATAAAATATAAAATATGGGAAGCATACACAATTATCTAATATATCCTAAAAATTTAATTAATGTAGAGAAAATTCGGATTAACCGATATCCGTTTTAGATAATTTATTTATGTCCATTTGATTATATCATCTTATAGGCCCTATATGGTTAATATTTTTTATGCAAAAACATTTAGATCATTTTTGAATTACAAGTAGGGTTGGCAATAATAAATTTTACTTCTTAATGTCCAAAGGAAAGGTACTGGCCTTGACCTGACCTTACGGTCAAATTTAATCTCACTGATATCAACACTTAGGGATATTGTCTTCTTGATTCTGTGAAAATTTCATTAATTTTTAAATACAAGAAATATGAAGAAAAAAATCCTGCCTTCAGCAGAAACAAAGGAAAACAACAGCTAAATCTCGAATTATTTTTTTCTATAAAAATAATATAAGGTATTATGAGATATTTTCATTGTGTGTACTTGTGTAGAGAAGATGTCTATCATCGACTCTGGAGTTTCTGAAATTATATTAATAATGAACTTGAAATAAAACGGTTCGTTAAAATTAGAAAAAAGTTTTTAAAAAATCACTAAAAAATATTTACGTTAGCAATACCTCCATTTGGATATTTGACATCTACATTATAAGTGGTGCTGTAATGAAATATAAAATAAACTATGGATGTAATTAAAGTCTGAGAATTTGTCCTCATTGTAATTAAAATTAACTGGGGCCAGCTGTGTGTCCTAAAACATTTCCTTCCTCTCTGTTAGCTTTCTCTAGGTTCACTTCCTGGGAGGAACTGGTTATTTGAATATTTTAAAACACTAATGCTAATAATATAGAGAGGTGTTTTTCAATATTTTATGTTGGGTAGAGGACAGAAGGGATCAAGAATTACTTTTCTCTCTAGATCATGCGTTACATAAAAGCTTTTCTAGTTACGTCCAGTACTCCGAGACATTCCGAGAATAGTAAAAATCTTTTAAGGTTGCTTTAAAACTTTGAAGTTATTCGTCATATGAAGGGTCTTTAAAGGGAAATAATTATTCAAGGAGAGATCATTTGAATGTTACAAATGCACTAGATTTGTGAATTAAAAATACTGCAAAGTAGAATAATCTGCCATTAGATTTTCAAGTATTGCTTTTTGACAAAATTGCATTTTGTTTGAGAAGGAAACTGTTTTCTAGTTGAAGAATGTCTTTCAGACCAAGAACTTAATTCGAGTGATGGAAAATGTGGATGTCGACTATGAAAAATTTTGGAGCCTTTGTTAATTTGTAAGTTCAAAATAAGAATGAGAAGGCAGAAAGTTCACCGGACCAGCCAAATAATACCAATAAAATGATTTTTCAGTTTTTCAGTTATGGTAGTACATGGAAATAACTTACATGTTACATGTATTTTGATGTGCATTTTACAATCGATGGTATATCCAGAAGAGTTTAAGGGCCAAGGTAAGAATTACCAGTATTTTTAACGTTTACATGTTTTAACACAGTTACAGTTTATTTCTTGTATTGAGGGTAAACTATTGGTGATAAAGGGTTTGATGACGATTTTCATATGCTTAAAATTGTCTATGCTTAATTTTTTAGCCTTTGTAATAGTGTTATGAAATCATATGAAACTACATGAAATTATATTATATGAAAATAAAAAATATAAATATATTTTATTGATATTATTTTATACAAAATTATATTAAATTTGATGAAATTATACTTTATTATACAATAGTTATAAGTAATTAATCGTCATTTTTGACTGACTCCGATTTAAAAAGTGAAATCTCTGCCAAAAATAACTTTTAAACATATTTCGCAGAGACGTCGCGCACGGTGTTGGTGTCAAAAAGTGAAAAATTACGATTGCGGCGGCATTTGGGCTATTTTCATAATTTAAAAAAAAATCACTATATGAAAACTATGTATCATTCGGCTGATAATCGTATACTTAATACATTTTTAACAAAAATATTGGTAAAAAGAATCATTTGTCAAAGATTTTAATTTCACTATTCCGTCAATTACGTCAAAACCGCATGTAGACTGGTAAGAGGAGCGTCGCACCCGCAATTACAAAATGTTGATAACTTAAATAAAAAAAAAAAAACAAAAATAAAATTTGGAAAAAAAAAAAAAAAAAAAAAAAAAATCAAAATATGATGTAAGCGATGTAAATTCTTACAATTGTGATGTCAGTCAATCCGTAAGCTCTTCACGCGTTTCTCAAAATTCTTGGCAGATAGTGAAGACATGCGTTTATCGACAATATATCGGATCCACATAAAAAGTCTTCGGTTACTTAGAAAAAAATTACATTAGCTAAATCTATTTTGAAATTACATCTCAATGATCCTTTTTGTGTGTTTAGAACTATATTTTAGAATAGACTGATATTTTGGGTTGATATGTATGTTGGATTTCTGATATTAAGCCGATTTATTGTGAGGATGTTGAATAAGATGGTGTGTCACAAAGTTTAGAGGTTCAGTGTCACACAGTTTTTAAGATCAGTAGAACGGCCAATTTTGTAATACTGGGTGAAAAATCAATGTTGAAAATTATTCTTAATTCTACTAAATGTTGCCATGTTATCAAGGAAAAGATCTCTAGATAGAAATTTAACTTGCGGTGTCTTAAATCTTAAAAATAATTGCCGTGCAACATATATGTACGACATGTAGCTATATGTCACAATTGAATTTGACGGCAAAAACGTCACACTTAAATGCTACATTCCATAAATTACCTTCATTTTAAGAATTCATTTCTCTAATTTGGCACCAAACAATATTTAAGGACAGATGATACAAAAAATGGATGCCTGGATAGGTATATATATTTTTTTGTCTAATTTCATTGCAAATGATACAAATAACAAATTTCTAGAGTATAAAGAAGTTGTAAACCTTCTCTGATGTTCATAAGTCCGCCCTTCTAAACCTATCCTTATTACACTGAACGAAATACATAGTGATTTTAACTAGCGTGCCTCGTAAAGCGTTTGTCGTGATTAGTAATCTTTCTGTTTACTGGCTAAGATAGTTAGAAGTGGAGCGGGGGTTGTATAGATATACTTAAATACCTAGTGAAAGTTACTTATCAATTCTAGATATTTACTAATCTTATCTAGTAAATCTAATCAATACCCAGTAAAACTACTTTTAAGGTAGTGATTGTATGGACAATAAATTTACTAGTCTTCTGAGTACTTCAACTAGGTTTTTTTTTCAGTTTAATCTATACAAATATTTTTCGCTTCAAATCCCTTTTTTGTGAAATTTTGAATAAAAAATTTAAAACTACGCGGTGAAACTTCTTCATTTTAATCATTTAAACATGACCCAAGTTGTTATTTTCATTTTTTTTTTACATAAGTTTGTTTGTATCATCTGTCCTTAATACAAAATGTGCAAAATGAAAACTATTAGATATGAAAATGAAATGATTCTATTTAGAAGTGTTTGTTTTAGAGGCTTTTTACAATGTCAACATAAATGTCACACATTGTCAAAATAATAAATCAAAATATAATTGTATAATAGTGGTGACATAAATCTTATGTGTTGTCATTAAAAATAGACGAATTGAAAATTAGAGGATTTTTTATGAAATGTGCATTTCCTCTAAACGTTATTGGTATATTTCATAATAATTTCAATTGAATGGTGACAAAATCCTAACAAAAAATAAATGTCAACATGTTATGTCATAGACGTAAAAAATAAGGAGTTTTTGACGTTATTACGTTCACTTCCATAAAAAATGTAATCTAAAACGTCAAAATTTTTTTGAAACTTAATCTTATGTCTGATAAGTCTGATATGGATATTAACAAGCTAATTCAGAGAATTTGTGTCCCGCTTAGGGAAAAATAACATGCGAAGTTCAGGGGATGGGTGCTGGATCCCCCTGACTAAATTTGTAGAATTATTAAATGCATACATGTATATTGAAGCAAAAAAAAAATGCCAATATGGATATAAAGATTTTATTGCTTATTCTTTATTACGTGTATAGAAGATTCTTTTTATATAGAATATTTATCACACTGTAATGATGGTTTTATGAGTTTGTACATGCCAGCCGTCACATTTTTTCCATTTCACATGGCATGATGCTGAATACTATCAATGAGTAAAAAAAAAGTATTTAAAAAAATAGATCGTCCGGGATTCAACATTTCAAGCGAGAGACATACCACGTACTACACCACGGTGTCGCTTTCGTCTACCAGAAATTATGCAAGCACTAGTTCACATACATGTATAAATTTACGTTAGATATTGTCAAAATTTTACACAAAGCATGGTTTCTAATTTAGCCTTTACTAAACAGTTCTAATAGATGTAATAAGAATGAAGAGTCCACCGACAACCTGTATTATACGTAATAACTCTCAACATGCCACTGAGCTTAAAAAAAAAAGTGCAAAGTGACATTTAATACTAATACAAGTTGCTGTCCTTTAAAAAATGACTGCAATACGTGGACCATATGTATGTTTTTTCTAATTAAAATTCAATTAAGAAATTTTCTAGGTGTAGGGAATATTCATGTAGGTTTTTTTCACTTTTTCTACAATGATCTGCCTATTTATAACTGATTGTAGTCTCAAAGCAAAATTGTGAAATCTTATCTCCGAATAGCGACCTTTAGTTTTGTCAGTTTAAAAAATCGGGTTATTTTGATACGTGTAACTCATACTGGCTGGGACGTGACACATGTACTGAATTTAGACGGAAGAATTTTTTATGGGAAAATACAGATCAGATGGTTCTCGAAAAGCCCAGCTCTGTAGTACGCATATTTTTTTTTGTCGGAGCTCCCCCCTACACATACATCAAAAGCCGTTGCTATAGACCTTTATCAAACGTTATTTTTTTTAGCCTTGATGCACAAAACTAATGCTGGTGAAAACTTGCTCCATCTTCTAAAAGCTATATCTATTTGTTGAGTGACGATTTTCATTCAAGTTGTTAAGTTACATGTATCTACATACTGTAATTTCTTAAAATGCCTGTACCATAGATTGATAGAATAAATGTTTATTTTATATATAAAAGTATATGTAAAAGAGAGAAAATCGGATCGCCAATAAATATGTAAATGCGATATGCAGATTGAAAAGCGCGATTTGCCAATGAATGGCATATTTTAATTCGATAGGGCGAATTATTCAACGGGCCGAGATACCTAAGGGGCGAACTCTCTAGCATTCTCGTGCATGCGTAGCCTGTCGTTTGCCCAGGGCATCCGGTTTAACTTCACTTATATATTTACTGCGTGGACCTCAGGGTCCACGCAAAAACAAACGGGACGGGACACTTTGAGAGGTGTGAGAGAGGGAGTTTTGGTATAAAAATTCATTACAAAAAGCTCAAAATCGTCTTGAAATATCTCCCGAAAACGATAGTATTACACACAAACAGAATGTATACATTGACGACCTTGAACTTTGACCTTTTGACCTCAAAATCAATAGGGGTCTTTCTTAGGCCACAGGGAGTTGTTATGTAAAATTTCATTACGAAAGCTTGAAGGGTTCTCGAGATATCGCGCGGAAACGAACGTGTAATAACAGATAGAATTTGCGAATTTATGACCTTGACATTTGACCTTTTGAACCCAAAATCAATAGGGTTCTTCTTTAGGCTATAGGGAGTTGCTATGCAAAATTTCATTGCAAAGGCTTAAAGCGTTCTCGAGATATCGTGTGGAAACGAAAGCGTTACAGACAGACAGAAAGACGGACAGACGAACAGCTAGACGGACGGACGGACAGACCCTAATTAATATCTCCCACTTTTCAAGCGGGGGACAATAAAAGTATATCAATAATGTTTTATTTTAAGAACAATTTATCATCTGATACACACTGCATCAGTATGCGTCCCTATCAGAATCTGCCCCAAAATTCATCATTCAATCACTCAGAGTTTGAATTTAAACAATTTGTGTCACCCGCTTAGGGAAAAAGTAAGCCATGCGCAGTTCGGGGGAGGGGGGGGGTCGGATGCCCCTGACTGGATTTGTAGAATTATTAAATATATACATGTATACTGAAGCAAATAGAATATGCAATATGGATATAAAGATTTGATGGCTTATTCTAAATCTTTATTATGTGTATAGAAGATTCTTTTTATATGGAATATTTATCTCACTGTAATGATGATTTTATAAGTTTGTACAGGTCAGACCTCATAACTTTTTTTCATTTCACATGCTGAATACTATCATTTAGTAAAAAAAGTATTACGGAACAAAAGGAAAAATAGATCGTCTGGGATTCGAACCCGGGACCTTTCACATGTGAAGCGAGTGACATACCACTAGATCACGGACCCGCCTTCAAATGTAGAAAATTTTATGCAAACATAAAGTCACATACATGTATATATTTACGTTTGTAATAAGAATATAAAGTCAGCTGAGAACCTGTTTTATACGCAATAACTCTCCTCCAGCCCCTGTGCTAAAAATGGCGACATGTAATACCATAAATACGAAAAAACAAACGGACGAGCCATTTTGAGAGGGGTGAGAGAGATTCTAGGGAGTTTTGGTATAAAATTACAGTGCAAAAACTCAAAATCTTCTTGAAATATTGCCCGGAAACGATACTGTTACACACAGACAAGACAGAATGTATAAATTTACGACCTTGAACTTTGACCTTTGACCTCAAGATCAATAGGGGTCTTCCTTAGGCCACAGGGAGTTCTTATGCAAAATTTCATTGAAAGAATTCAAAGATGGATGGTCACGTCACCGCTTGTCTTTTGAACAGTTGTAACTCACTTATAATCAGAGAGCTAAGAATAGTACCATAAGTATGAATGATTGAAGACAATACAATTATGTATATGCTGTGTTTTAAGTAACAGGGCGTAACTGTTATCATATGTTGTAGACAGTCCTCGTATTATTGTGCAATACCGCAAGGAACTTCGAATCCCAAAAGGTAAAAAATAATAATATTTTAAAATTCAATAATTGAAAATCTATCAAAAACTGATTTATACTTATTAATGGGCATGTCCACATAAATGAGTAGCTGCAGAAGTGTAGTATTATGGTTTTATATATTAGTCTTAACTGTTATGACTGTTATGGTCAAAGACTAATATATAAATTCATTACACTATATATGTACAGTTCTGCAGCTAATAAATGAGTTGCATGGTGGCTTGTTTATTATGCATGTCAGCATAAGTTGCAAAGCTTGTTGAATCTAGCATGATGTTTGTGGCATATCTACGGAAACGTATAACCGCCTCATGTTGTTGCCTTAGAACGCGATATAACGATATATAAAAATGTTGTCAAATACAATTGCTTCAAGGTTTGGCGATTAAATTTTGACAACATACTCTGATGAATATCACTTTTCTTAAATGTTTTAGACGACTTATACTCTTTAATTTATCAAAGTTGAATTCCTAAATGTCGCACTAAAATAAAATAAAATTAGTTTTTGTATACCTACACCTTATTTATGTCATCATGTGAGATATTTATGTTGATTAACAAGTTAAAAGTGTGAATACGATTCACATATGCTGCATGCCGGTGTAAAGACGAATAATGACCCCCATCGAATAATGACCGGGGGTCATTTTTCAACGACAAAAAATGACCCCCATCCGTAGAAAAAAATCATTTTTTGTAGAAAAAGGGTCCTAGGGGGTCATTATTTTATATGTTAGTCCTATAAAATAATGACCCCCATTGAAAAATGACCCCCTTCAAAGTGATTCAAAATACACACTCTTTGATATCTTTTTTACAGAGAAACTAATTTTTTTTTAACATTTTCTGTAACCAGAAAAATACAAAAAGTCGTATGAAATAATTGAGAGTTTCACGTAGTCTTTCAATGCTAAAATTGTGTTTGAAAAGAGATTCTTTAATTGTCAAGTAAATAAAATTTCTTTTCAATATTCCTCCTTATAATGTTTGCTTAAAGAATGATATTCCACTTGTTTTTAGAAATCAAACCATGCAAAAATCAGGTTTAAATACACTTTAATAGGAAAAATTAAATTTTCCGTCATTTCAACTTTTAGTTTGTTTAAGTTTGGCAAATCCTATTTGACAATGAAAGAGGAAGAAATTTTTATCCCTCCCCCCCCAAAAAAAATAAAAAATTAAAAAAAAAAATAATAATAAATGAAAAGCAAAAATATAAATAAAACTCTATACCTTTCAATAATTCTGAAAGAGGCTCTAGATAAAATATTGAAATGAAGTTAAGGCTTCACACAAGTACTATCATATATCATAATTTACTTCGCCATGATTAAAGCATACTTTAAATGTTGGTGGAGGTATACTTGAAAGTATTGTGGCAAAGTAACAGTTAAAAATTAGTAGAAAAGTAGATTATTTTAAGCTTATTTTTAATTCCTTCTTATAGAAAAATAAAGGTAGGGTGGTTTTTTGCTTTTGCCCAATATCGACTTCCTCCTAAATAAGAAAGGGGATGGGGTAAGTATAAGACCTAAAAATATGCTCTGTAAAGCTATGGGCTAGTGTAAAATACACAGTCATTCTAATGCAAAAACTATTCATGTAGACATAAACTTTTGATTTAGCACACATTATCCATTACATTTCTTTTAACGCAGAACCTACTTCGTATGACATCATAACTTGTAAATGTGTTAAACCTGTGCTAACCCATTAAGACGTCATCATTAATTTAATGCCACTTTTTCCCGTGCTTGACAGCTTCAATAAAAATGGTAGAAAATACTGCATTTTGAAATTCACAGAATTCAATCATGCCAACATAATCTTGATTCAATTCATATATTTTTTGTCTTATAATGCTTAATGGCAATATATTTCTGGAATAAGAGAAAATATGTAGGCACCTTTTATTTACTAGATCTAGACCTGAAGTTGACAAACCCAAGACTATCTAGTGTAATGAAATTACAATGTACATACAACTTTCGTAATAGTTTGAATGGTATGTAACCAATTTGAAGGAATGCATAAATCGTAAGAAATCTTTAGTTGCCAGCTATATAGTGTAACATCTTGATGAAATGTGTCTAAGTCAAAGATGTACGTGTTGTACATCGTTTGATCATGTGTACATTTTTGTGATATCTATAATGAAATGATGTGCATTCCTTTTAACAATTATTTGTTACCTATTCATATTTTTGGTGTTTGATTACAATTTTTCTATTAAATATGATCTTTTTAAAGAAAATGTACAATTTCTGATAAATATTTAATCTGAAAGTAACCCCAAACAGTAATTTAATTATTAAATCCCGTGTAAGTGCAAAAAGGTCAAGAACATGAGTATCGGTAAATAGCCTATATTTCATTAGTTAGAGGGGAAAGGTATATATTTTAATCATTTTTTGTAATTGTTTGGCTATGTTCTTCATCATATTGAAGATTGAAAACATTGTGACAAAGACGTCTAAAAAATATTTACAAATATAGGGGTGAATAATTGACTAAAAATAATAGAGATCATTTGACTATTTTTTTTAATGGTGGACTTAACTTTTATGTTAATTGAATAAAAAAGAAATTATTCTTGATAAAATATTGTTTAATATTATTCAGTTAAAAAAGTTTATAAACGACGATGTTTTAAGAAGTATTTTTGTGATTTTTCATATTACCTTTATGACAAGTACCCCTAAAAATATTTGAAAATGTGAAGTCGCAGTATGTAAATACCATACCAGGTTTCACAACCTGTTCTAGATTAAAAAACAAGGAAACATATCATGAATTCATGATATCTTAACTGATTGATAAGAAAGTACTAATTTACCATTTTGATAAGTTTGAAAATCTTGTGACAAAGACTTTGCCGACATAGGTTCTACCTTAATTCTTGTTTTACTCCACCCTTTTACACCCTCAGTTCTGAGTATATTTTTCAGAGAATTTAATATGAAAATCAGAACAAACATTTTCATTGTTGTAACGGCGTCTTTATAATGTATATTAATATGAAAAGTTAATTGAAGACCATGATTTCTATGTCCCTGTAATCGAAGATTCGGGGGTATATAGTTTTATCGTGTTCGTCTGTATGTCCGTCTGTCTATTTGGCGGTTTGTTTGTCCACAAAAACCTTAACCTTTGCTATAACTTTTCATTTATTGGAGCTATGACTTTCATATTTAATATGTATATTCCTTGTGACAAGACCTTACCTTGGGTACCACCAAATTTGACCTTTTAACCTTTACCTTGGAGTTTGTCCCATTTTACACAAAAATGCCAAATTTTTACTTTGGCCATAACTTTTAAACGGTAGATACTAGTACTCTCATACTTCAAATATGTAGTTTTTTGGCATTACCTTTCATTGGATACGAAAAACCTTGACCTTGGAGTTTTCCGTACTTATGATTTTTTTTTACCTTGGCCATAACTTTTGAACGGTAAGGGCTAGGGTATTCATACTTCACATATGTAATCCTTGTTACATTAAACATTTTCTTAAGCAATCATCAACTTTGACCTTTGAGTTTGACCTACCTTTCAAAAACTTATCCTTAGCCATTACTTTTGAACAAGCGGTGCTAGGGCTTTCCTATTTTGCAGTTGTATTTCTTGTGAGAAGACCCTACTTTGAGTAACAATATATTTAAATTGCATTTAAGAAAATTTTAATCTTCGCTATGTTGCCATACAGTGGCATAGCTGTTTCACAAACACATCTTTTTATATATGAGGATTTGCGGATAAGAGATGGATACCTCAAAGCGTAACAGACGGACGGACATCCCAATCACTATATACCCTCCCGCTTTTCAAGCGGAGGATATAATAATATATAATACTGCTGATTTTTTCTGTCAGTTCGATGATTTCCACCATCAAAAAACAATGTTTACCTAACCCTTAAGGCTTGATAAATCTTTTACTCCTTTAGATTCTGAATCATTGCATTTACCTTAAAATATAGCTATAATTGTATAATGTTATGAGATCAACATATCATTAGTTTATTCCCAATAAGCTCAGGTGAGCATTTTGGCCAATATGCTTCTTTATCCGATTTTTTTTTTGCCCCCTAAAAATTTTGGCTTTAATCTACAGGGGGTCATTTTTCTACGGGGGTCATTTTTCTTCACGTGGGTTCTGCAAATTTTTAGGGAAGTGACACTTTTTCTACGGGCAAAAGGGTCATTTTTCTACGTCGAATAATGACCGGGGGTCATTTTTCGCTGTCGAAAAATGACCCCCGGTCATTATTCGATGGGGGTCATTATTCGTCTTTACACCGGCAAAGCATGGGGTTAATTACTTAAAAAGTAATTAATTAAATTTACTTTGCCTTATTCTTCAATTAAGAGGGTCGCCTGGGAATCCATTGCGCAATACACCGCACATCATAGTAAAATAAAACGTATAATTTGCGGTTTTAAAGCAATTAAGTAACCAAGTCTTTATTCGCTCAAAAAAACATCACTGGTACAAGAGATACATATAATATACATATATACATGTATACATAAACAACAATTACAGTCAAGGGTCAAGAAATAGACATAAGGAAAAAAGAAAAGAACGAGATAAACATATACATTGTACTATAGTCAGATATAAAACACATGGAGAATTCAAGACGGAGAGACAGTTTTGAAAATTTATAACCAGAGGTAACATGCAAAGTGTAAATTATGATAAGCAAAGCGTCCTCTTTCAAATTGTGAATTTCATGGCCTCGAAAAATTCAATTGTTGGAAAGTTGTTACATATTTACTCATGTGACCTAAAAAGCCCGTGTTTTAAAATATTTATAAAGACATTCATTTCATACAATTATCATATGATAGGATTGCAGCATGTTACCAAATTGTAGTCTATGCACGCTATATGTTCGTTATACATAGTGTAACTATATGGTATACTAGTAATAAAGAGAAAAGCAATAAAACTAAACGCATATAAAAACAGCTTAAAATATGTTTTTCTTTATATACAGTTCCAGAGTTCCTATCAAGCCGAACACACACATTTTTGTGCAGAGGACGTGACAATGCAGGTACGATATGAATAAAAATGTAAAAGGAGAGAGATCCAAGCATCGAGGTGTAATTATCACTAAAATTTCCCTATATTTCCTGCTTACAATTACACTTAAACTTATGTCAGATAATAAGAGGAATTTTATTTGCTATATTGCGTTTTACATTTTAATTCAACATTACGAACTTGTGAATTCAGAGAATGTGTGTCCGTCGCTTAAAGAAAAAGAAGAGCATGCGCGAATCTAATTTAAGATTAGAAGGGCAGGAAAGTCCGAAGGAATTAATCGTATAAAATTTCATTGCATTGAAAGCTTAAATCTTGAGATATTGCTTGAAAATTTTATACACACAGAGAAAATGTATGAATTGATTACATTTTCATTGCAAGCTCAATGTCTTCTCGTGATATGGCGCGGAAACGAGTGTTACAGTATATGGAAATATAGAAATCTACAGCTAGACGGACAGACTGACGGACGGATCGCAATTAATATCCCCACTTTCGATGAAGATCGACGGAGGGGGCAAAAAGGACTTTAATGTATTTGCACTAAGCATATATAAAATAAATGTTTCTTTAACTGAAATTTTTAAAATGAAAAAAGTGTTATTTCATTTAAATTGCTTATTGAAAAGATAAACTTATATAAAGTTTTACTTTGAGAAAGTGCAAATGTTTCAATCAACCGCGTCCGGGACTTCCGAAATTTGTATTTTCAATTATTTCCAGATATCATAAGTTTTTCATTATATTTCCATATAAAATGCTATAGAAACATATATAGAAGTCATGATATTAAACCGAAAATTTGAGAAAATATTGACATCAAATCTGTACTTCAAATAAGATTTGTTACTTACAGGGCGTGATCAGTTGTGGTGTGGTGGAGATTTTATACTTCCAGAGTGCGTCTGCACCTACCACCATGTAGCTAATGAAGAATATCACGACTATACAGCCTGTAGGAGTGATGACCAAATGGACAGCATCAAGCACATGAATTGTAAGTCTCCTTTATAAAAATGCATGATGCACTTTCCATTACTCAAAGATAGTAATTAGGGATCATATTGTTTTGGGGTCTGGTTATCTCTCGTTTTTGTCTTTCAACAACCTTTACCTAACATATATAACTTGAATGCCTTAAATTTGAAACATATTCTTTAAAAAACATTTTAAGAATAGAGTTACTTAGTATAAATTCCAGTCGATTTATAAATACTCAACATGTAATATATAGAGATAACGAACAGTATTCTAGGTCAAAAGTCCACTCAACAATACAAAATAGGAGAAAAGCCAACATTGACCTCCAAAAGATCAGAAGTGGGATCAGGCACCATGGAAGAGTGGGCATCTCCTGCAGATCGGTCACACCAGCCGTGTGCTCCTTGTCATGATTGGGAAATAACGGGGAAATTCAGTCGACAATTCTTAAGGTCATTATAACGAAGCTGATGCTTAGGGGCTGTAGAAATAATAGTTTTAATCATGAATAAGATTTTATGTTACAGAAATATTTATGGCAGTTTATAAGGGTTTGCTCCCCTTTTGCACACATTTGAAATTAAGGTATAGAAAAAAAGTTTGCAAAGAGGGCATTTGTCCAGGTAAAAAAAAAATACTCAATTGCTAGTCTATATCATAGTTCACCAATAGCAGAAAGATAAACTTAAATGGAAAGATAGCAGAACATAGATAATATATGTATTTGACATCTTGTAATATCATTGTACACTATACCACCCCCACCCCCCTTTCGCTTGAAAAGTTCGAGGATATATTGTGATCGGAATGTTTGTCTCACCGTCTCTATCTCCGTCTGTATGTTACGCTTTGGGGTGCCAATCATAAACTTTTCACCTCTTATTCCACTGAATCAAATTATATGATATATATTTCAATGATATACTTTTTAAGGATTCTTTGATACATAGTGCCATAGTGACCGCCTGTTTACTTTTTGATCGGATTCGAAACATATTTCGATTTTCCCATAGAAAATCATTGCTATATTTTCTATTATACTAAAGAGTATCCATCTTTTATCCGAAACTCCTCCTATACCACTAAATAAAATTTAACGATATTTTAACAGATTCTTTGCACCTCCTATTTTACTTTTTGATCTTATACTTATTTCAGGTCTCTTAGAGCAAAACATAGACGTTTCCATTATAACCAAAACGGAGGCGAGGGTCTCATTTAGTGAGCTCAGTACTCATAGTACCTCTAGTTTATTCTGCTTTAATTATCTTGATAGTAAGAAATGGATTTAATGTAGAACACATTTGTAGGGAAACATCTTACAGCATCTATGGGTGAAGGGGAACAAATTGTGAATTTTATGGTCCCCCGGGGCCTGAGGGGTTGGGGCCAAAACCACTAAAATTAATGAAATCTTTAAAAATTTTCTTCTTTACTACTGGACATCAAGCAGTCAAACTGTTGGCATGAATGCAATGAGCATTGAGTCCTCTACCAAAATTGTGAAATTCATGGCCCAAGGGTCAGGGGTTCTAGTGATAGGGTGGGACTATATTGATTTTATAGTGAAAATGCATTATTTTTTCTTCTCTGCTCCTGGGTATTAAATAAACTTAGTAGCCTACATAGTTATGATGAGCAAGAGTGACTTTACCAAAATTGTGAATGTTATAGTCCAAGGGTCATGGGTTCTGGTGTTAGGGCGGGGCTCTATTGATTATATAGTGAAAATGCATGAATTAGGGCGGGGCTCTATAATGATGTAATGAATATATAGTGAAAATATATTACATCTTTGAAAATCTTCTTCTCTGCTCTTGGGTAATAAGCAGATGAAATACGTATATATTTATGATGTGCAAGGGCTCTTCTTCCAGAATTGTGAATTTTAAGGCCCCTGGGTCAGGGATACCATAGGAGGGGGGCTCTACTAATATTGAAAATGAATTGTTTTAAATCTGCTCCTTGGTATTAATTAACATTTTGATAAGCAAGTGTGCCTTTTCAAAAATTTGCAACGTATGAACCTAGAATTAGGGGTTCACGTGTGGTAGGGGCACTTCTGATTATTGCTGAATATTATTGATTATAGTTGAAGTGCATTTTTTGTTAGCCTTCCCTGCCTATGGGTATTAAGGACTCTCTTAACACTGCACACTGTAGAACTCTATTTATTGGATAGTTTTATGCAGTTAGAGTGATCTGCATTTAGATGTAAGATTAAAGAATTTGTTTTTTACCGTTAATTATATAACTCATAATATATTACAATATTTTTAGCATGTTATGAGACCAAGAACTCGTAATAAATTTAATTATTTTCATTAATTTTCCCAATGTAAGTAAACACTGATTTCTGCTCATAAATAGTCAATTGTCTTTGAACATTTTTTCTGCGCAAATAAGGCACGTACCCTATGTTCTAAATGAATGAAAAAGTCTCAATATGCATATCTTTATATGATTTATTTTTCTATGAGTCTAAAAAAACAGTATTTGTTAGTATTTAGAGCTTCCTTAATTATAAGTAACCAAACGAAGCAATTGCTAAGTGTATAGTTATGATTAGCAATGGTGCCTCTTTCAAAATTGTGAATGCCATAGCATCTTGCTTTAAAAATGAACCAAATTCAATTATTTGAAAGTTGTTGCATGATGCTCAGGTGAATTTTAAGGTCCTTGGGCCTTTTGTCTTTTTTAGAAACCAGTTTGAACAGATTGTAATGCTTTAAAAATTTGCTTGGACGGTTGCTGAGGAAAATGAGATTTATTATTTTTTTTATATGGGATCCGTGTTAAAAATACATATTTTGTCACTATTTTGAAGAAGGGACACTTGTAACAATGTGTCACGCCCTTGGCTCTCATAAATTAAGTACATGTACTGCCATAATATTTTATTAGGGGTTGGGCTGGGGTGGGTGGTGGCTCTGGGGGAAATCGTTTTCTATAACTACTACACAAAGTACCGTAAGATCATCCCTAGAATATTGAATCTGGTCTGGGATATCCTTGGGGGGAAAGCCCAGTACTCTAAAAAAGTTTAGAGTAGAGAAAGTCTAGTCCATACAAAACCATTGATCAATTTCCCGGCTTATTATCATATTCATATTTACAATTCCACAGACTTTCTTCATTACAGGTGAGCAGTGTAAAGACTTTAGTGTGGATTACAGTGGTCCGTGTTTAAATGGAGGGACAATTAATTGTGGCACTGACATTTTAGCGGCTGACGTCACCTGTTCATGTCTTCCTGGTTTTTCTGGGAGGTTTTGTGAATACCAAAATATCACAGTAAGCTACATATGGGGGATTTATCCCTCTCGCAGAAAAAATAATTTGTATCCGCTATGATTAAATATTTAATATCAGTTGTGCGTGTCCACATACAGCTCAACGCACTTTTTAAACTCACATGGTTTTTCTAAATTAAGGTCACATTCTTGTAATGCTTTGTGTAAGGTGAGAACCAAATATATTTTCTAAGTGATTTATAACTTAATTTTGATCTTATTCTATTACTTTAAACATGATTCAAACATAATCATTGATCCAGTCTTGTATTCCACCATATTTCAAGCTAAAGACTACACCTTGTATTTCCTACAAATATACATCGACCATTGCTTCCAAACTTTTCAATTACAAGAAAACTTTACATGGCCTGGATACCGAGTATCTGAAATATATAATCCTCTATCGTGTTCATGTTCTTCTTCGCCCCTTGGCTATAGTCCTGCTGGACACGTCATTACAGGTGACGTACATATACAGTCAATTCTCGAATTATCGCCATTCGATTCATCGCCATTTTCGCTATACCGCCATGATTTCCCAAGAACGTTTTTTCCTGCTATATAAAATTCTCTTTATAACGCCAAATTTGCATACCGCCATCCGCCACCCTGTTTTCAAAACAAACGTCCATTTTTAAGTGTCAATTATCTCGATATACCGCCACAGGTGCGTGCGGTCAGTGAAGAGCGGCTAATTGGTTAACGCTATCCCTGTTGTTAAGCATGCAAAGCCAGACAAGGTACACGTAATTAGATAATTAAATTAGAATTAAATGAAGAAATAATTTTGATATGAACTGTTACAATGATTTTGTACTGTTGTTTTGTTTAAAAAATCATTTAGTCACGGCTTCGCCACGAAAGTGGTAGTTGTAAAAGTACGCCGAATTCGACATTATTTTGATGATCTCTGCTTTAAACAAAACAAAGTTTGCTTGAAAATAATTATACGGTATAAATTCTGAACGTTTCACGAACAATGATGCCATAAACAATAAATTTATTCAAGAAACTAATTTACCTACGGTCAGCAATACATCACGCTAATCGACCCAGCATGTTTTTTTTTAATATCAGACGTGCCGATTTACATGTACATGTACATAAATGCACATGTATATGTCTTTATTTTATAACTGCACATTTTGTTTTAAAGAAATTGTACATAAAAAATTACTTGAAGTATTTAAAATTGAGAAATATGTTGTATATACATGTACATGTAATTATAAGAATATAAACGCGCGCTTTATGGTATTTCTAAGAACGGTAACTCTACTTCTGTTTTCCTAAACGATGGGAAATACAATACATCGCCAAATTCATTATACCGCCATGATTTCTAAATTACAAAAGGTGGCGGTTTATCGAGAATTAACTGTAGTTAATAATGACCTAAGAACACTTATTTTGAAGGTCCTAAATATATGGAACCCTGACCCTTCAACTGGCGTCAGGATTTCATAAATATTATGGATTTTGTAGAAGATTATGCCAGGCTTTGGGCCAGATATGAAAAAGAAGACGTTGAAGTCACGTATTAAAAGATTGAGAGGCAATATGAAAACCATATATCTTTCTGTATGTGTTCAATAATCCAGAACTGAAAAAAAGAATTAGATAGATTACTTGATCATTACGTACTGGTCCATGCCGACAAAGCAGGAAACAACATTGTCTTCGTTTGTAAGGCTCATTATATAAATTGTATTTTTAGAAGAACTTGGATTTAATTTTACAAGTGTTAATCGTACTTGTACTCATACTTCCTTTTCTAAGGAGGAAATTCTTCAAAATCATATGTCAGTTCTAAATATTTTTAATATTCCACAGAGCCAAAATGAATTTGAAATACCCTATATATATTTGATTCCGAAACTTAATAAATATCCTTACAAACAAAGATGCATTGCAGGTTCCAGTAAATGTTCAACCTAGCCTCTTTCGTTACTTCTCACTAAAATATTTACAGTTATGAAGGGAAAACTACTGTGCAACAATATATTCAAGATATGGTGTGAATAAGATGTGGATACTTAGAAATCCAAAAGAACTTTTGGACAATTTGAAATCACAAGATTTTTAGCTCTACTGGTCAGAGACCAGAAGAGCTTATGCGATAGTAATGCGTCCGTCGTCCGTCCGTCTGTCTGTCCGTCTGTCTGTCTGTCTGTAAACAATCTTTCAAAATGCTACTCTTCCTACAGTTTTGGTCTGATTTCAATATAACTTGGCACACAAGTAGACTACACTAAGATACATAATTCTGTGTATCGGTTTTTGATTTCGATTAACGGTGTTGCCGTTGTTGCTAAAAATAGAAATTTCTGTGAAATTCTTTCAAAATGCTACTCCTCGTACAGTTTTGGTCTGATTTCAATATAACTTGGCACACAAGTAGACTACACTAAGATACATAATTTTGTGTATCGGTTTTTGATTTCGATTAACGGTGTTGCCGTGGTTACTAAAAATAGAAATATCTATGAAATTCTTTCAAAATGCTACTCCTCCTACAGTTTTGGTCTGATTTCAATATAACTTGGCATACAAGTAGACTACACTAAGATACATGATTCTGTGTATCAGTTTTTGATTTCGATGAACGGTGTTGCCGTTGTTACTAAAAATAGAAATTTCTGTGAAATTCTTTCAAAATGCTATTCCTCCTACAGTTTTGGTCTGATTTCAATATAACTTGGCACACAAGTAGACTTCACTAAGATACATAATTCTGTATATCGGTTTTTGATTTCGATGAACGGTGTTGCCATGGTAACTAAAAATAGAAATTTCTCTCAAAAACTCTCAAAATGCTACTCCTCCTGCAGATTAAGTCTGATTATAATATAATGTGGCATGCAAATAGACTATACTAAGAACATAAAGAGACTTAATCAAGGATCATTATTCTTTTTATTGCTGTGGTAAAGTTTCAATTCCCAACTGCTTAAGAACTTTTCTCTTCCTTTGCTATAAGTACAAACCAGTAGAGCTTCAGTCTCGACAGAGACTTCTGGTTCCAAAATCAGCAGCTTACAAACTTATGACTTTTCAACTTTGTACACAACCATTCCACACGATAAATTAAAGAAGTCCATGCTTTTTGATATAATTGACAGCTGCTTTTTTAATGAAAATAGAACTCGTATATTTACTTATCTGGTAATTGGTCATTTGCAAAATTATTTTGTTAAAAAATGCTGAATGTACGCACAAATACTCTGAAATTGACATCAAAAACATGCTTGAGTTTCTGATTGACAAATCTATATAATTTTTGGAGACCAGGTATTCCAATAATCTATTGGAATTCCCATGGGTAACAATTGCGCTCCCTTATTAGACCTATTTTCATATTCATATGAAGCAGAATTTGTGCAAAATAAAAAGAAAAGAAGAAAACAATTGCTGTGGCCCTCAACTCGACTTTTAGATATATCGACGATATATATTGTCATTTATCAATAATAATTTCCATTCCTTCGTCGATACGATATATCCTAATGAACTTGAGATAAAAGATGCTACAAAGTCTGACACATCTGTCTCATACTTGGGTATTTTACTTGAAAAAGACCTTAATGGAAATCTAACAACCAAGCTCTATGATAAACATGATGACTTTAACTTTTTTATCGTCAACTTCCCTTACTTATGCAGCAATATACCCTCATCACCTGCATACAGAGTATATATATCTCAGTTGATTCGATACGCAAGTGCATGCTCTACGTATGAACAATTTCTAAAACGAGGTAAATTATTGACAAGCAAGTTGATTAAACAAGAATATCAGCAAACTCGTTTAAAGTCTTCATTTCATAAGTTTTACGGTCGATACAATGACTTTGTCAGCGAATACAATTTATCATTGAGTCAAATGCTGAGTGACGTTTTTCAACTAATTGTTAGTTTATTATTTATACACTGAATTGACAACGGATTTTTCCGTTATTAACTGATCATGACAAGGAGCACACGGCGGGGATGCTCACTCCTCCATGGCATCTGATCCCACTTCTGATGTTTCGGAGGTCCGTGTTTGCTCTGCTTCTATTTTGTATTGTTTTATGGAATATTGAACACTGTTCGTTATCTCCATAGCTTTCTTGGTTGGATTTTTATATGCTCTTGGATGATAGAATATGACTTTTCCCTTTTTTTCATGGTTTCTCGCCAAATGCAGCCATTTTTTGTATTAGTTCATTTTAAAGCACACCTTTGCCTTTGCTTTATACAGAAACAGTGCAATTTATGTAACTTCTGTATTTTCTGTACATGAATATGACACTTATACGGCGCAAGATGATAGAAGTACTTCTCGTCTGTTCGACTGCTTTACATGATAAAAAGATGGCATTTCTTCACGTTAATGTTTTGAAATCTAGCATCAAGAAAGATACATTTCAAAGCAAAGCAAAATTTCAAGGTTTTAGACCATAAATGTAAAAAAAAAATCTTTTAAATAGTAAATATTTACTATGTTGAAAGATAAACAATATTTTATTATCCTATTCTTTGACTTGATTTCTATTTGCAGTTTCGCCAGTTTTTGGCGCTGCATTTCGACAAAACCAAGACCAGTATGAAAAATGTGCAAAGTAACTAGAACTAGAAATATTTCCGTAGGACATGAATGCCGAGTGTGTTTCAGTAATGCAACATAAAATTCAAATTTGTGTATGGAATTTCAGAATATCTTGAATTGTGATGCAATTGAATTGCTTACATCAGTATGTATAAGCATATAAATTTTAACACTAATTTAAGAAAAGTGAGGTCAGAGTCAAAGGTAAGGCCATGGAAATAAATGTTGAAGCAGTTTAAAAATCTAATCAGTGTGTATCTGAATATGAAGTTGAAAAAAATATGAATGGTATCTTTAACACTGGTTTAATCACAATTCGATTAAAGTGAGGTCAAAGTCAAATAAATGGTAAAGGTAAAAAATGTTGAAGCAGATGAATTGCTTACATCAGTATGAATCAGCATATG